GAGGACCCAAGGCCAAAATTTGGTGGGGATTTTGGCAGGGGGGTGGTGGGGGTGGTCATATTTATAGGGAAGGGAGGGGGTGTAAGGGGAGGGGGGATGGGATAAAATAAACTTTATTGGGGCCGGGGATTTAGCTCAGTGGTTTCGCTGCCTGCTGCGCAAGAACAAGGGCCCAAGTTTGATCCCCGGTACCAAAAAAAATAAAAAAATAAACTTTATTTTTTTAAAAAGCGGTCATTTTTGGCCAGGGGTTTAGAGCCAGAGGTCAGGGTGTGTCCTAAGGATTAGAAGGTGCTGTGGTCCTCCTACCTCAGCCTCCTCACCAGGGTAGGCCAGGAGGGGAAGGGTACACAGGCCTGCAGGGTCTTACCCGCCAGTCATATCCAGCTTTCTGGGGCTGGGATGTTGTGGGAACCACAATTTGTGTTTTTCCTGTTGGTCTAAAATAAGGCTGTGCCTGGGACCGGAACCCCACGCCAGTACACCCCCCACCTCAGCCCGAGGCAGGCACTTCCGGCCCTGAGCACAGGATGAGCTTCGAGGCCTGTAGACGCAGCCTGCCCCACGCGTGGGTGGGTCCTGGCCCATGCAGGGTGGATATGGGACCCAGGCTGGACCCTGTAAGGAAGCGCTGAGCTACATCTCCAGCCCTTTAAAAAGACATTATTTTCAATACTGGGAATCAAACCCAGGGTCTTCACACTGAGCTCCACCCCGTCTTTTTTTTTTTTTTTTGATCCTGGGGTATCAACTGAGGGTTTTCTACATGTTAGGCAAATGCTCTGCCACTGAGCTACATGCTTAGTCTTATTTTTTATTTTTATGTATTTCTTTTTTTGGTACTGGGGATCAAACTCAAAACCTTGCCCTTGAGAAACAGGCGGTGGGACCACTGAGCTAAATCCCTGGCCTCCTATTTTCTATTTTGACACAGGGTCATTCTGAATTGCTAAATTATCCAGCTGCACTTAAACTTGCAATCCTCCTGGCTCAGCCTCCTCGAGTGCTGGGATCACAGATGTGAATCATTTTGAGAGGAGACTCACCAAGTTGCCCAGACTGGCCTCAAACTTGTTCTCCTGCCTCAGCCTCTTGAGTAGCTGGGATTACAAGTGTGTGCCAATTTGCTGAGTTCTGAAAGATCTTTAGAGTGAGAAAGACTCCATAAATCTACTACCAAGCTTACATTTTAGATGAGAAACTGAGGCACTAAGACCACAGGTGCTTGCCCTGAGGTCAACAGACAGAGAAACGGGGAGAACAAGACTCAGGTTTTCTCTTAGGGAAATTATTTCTGTTACCTTTGTGAATGGTCGAAGGCTGCTTTGGCAGAATCCTGAGTGAACAGGAGAAAAATGCCCGTCTCTGGCACCCTGAGCTGCTTCTTAAGCCTTTCAGAACTTTTAGGGGTTTTTTTTGTTTGTTTTTTTCTTTTGGTACTGGGGATCGATTGCTTCTCGGCCTTTTGGCCAAGATCAAGTGTGGTACTGGGGATCGAACTCGGGACCTTTCGCTTGTGAGGCAGGCAGCAGAACCATGAAGCTAAATCTCCAGCCAAGAACCTTTAGTTTTAATCTCCAGATCTGTTTTCCCCTTTGAAACTGACATTTGAATTTTCTATGTTCTTAGCCACAGCTGGTGCTAATTCTTCTCAACTGCTGCACTCGCAGTCTGCCCTACCCACTTTTGGACTAATTATGCTTTTTATTTGCTTCCTGGTGGTTTCGTACATGCAACTGAAATTTCTCCAACTCTAATGGAAGCTTGGGAGCTTCAAAAATAGTCATTCAGCTGGGCCTGGTGGTGGACACTTGTAATCCCAACCCTCTGGGAAGCTGAGACAGGAAGATCACAACTTCTGAGCCCAGCCTGGGCAACTTAACATGAGATCCTGTTTCAAAACAAAAAACGATAATCGCTTGTCGGCCTTTTGGCTACAAACAAGTATAGTGTCTTGTACTGTAGTATCAGGTCACTGTCTGATATGTGCTCTGGCCAAGGACAATATATCAGATGGATTTCCAGACATCGGGCTGGTATTGTAGTGCTTCTAGAAACAGTGCCCCCCTTGGGGGAAATAAATAGTGGTGAAGATTAAAAATAAATAAAATAAAAAGGGGTGGTGTAGCACAGTGTGGAGGAGCTGTCAGACTTCGAAGACTGTGGAAGGGACAGGCCATCCAGTGCTGAGAGGTCAAGCAGAGTTGGTGACCTGGAACAGGATGTGGAGAGGAGTGGCCAGGACCACTCGGGGCAGTCACCTCTGTGTCTGTTCTCAAAGCCAAGTCACAGGACAGAAGCGGCCTGGATGTGGCTGCTCAGACCTGACATTTGACCTTGACAGGGTGGGCACAATCTCTGTGGAGTGGTGGGGACAATGTCACACCAGAGTGGCTTGAAATTTGTTTTTAATTTTTTTTTACTATGGAAAATAGCAGAGGTGCATAAGAGTTAAAAGCATGATTCACAGTCATTACTGTGAAGCTACCAGTCTCATCCATGTCCTCTCTTCTCTCCTTTTGAAGTCAATCTCAGGCATATCATTTCATCCATAAATAATTCAATAAGTATCACTAACACACTGGGGAATGAACCCAGGGGTGCTACACCACTGAGCTATATCCCCAGTCCCTTTTATTTTTCAAATTGAGGCAGGGTCTTCGTAAGTCACTAAATTGCCCAGGCTATACTCAATATAACTCCCAACCTGCTAGATGTCCGACATGCTGAGTTTGTGTTCTCGTTCTCTAAAATCAAAGAATGAATTCCAGGAACAATGCAGGTTGAGTAGGAAGAATTTATTGAGAGAAAGATAGCTTCTGTCTAAGAGAGACAGAAGGGGGCCTGCAAAATGGGTCACCTGTGGACCTTGCTTCTCCAGGGAGGTCTTTTTTTTTTTCCCCATCAGTACTGGGGATCAAACTCAGGACCTCATGCTGTGAGGCACCATTGGGCTAAATCCCAGGCCCTCAAGGGAGTTTTATAGAACAAAGCCATGAGGTGAGGCCTCTATAAGGTGAGGCGGGACAAAACTATAGTCAACTAATACCATTACAAGTATAGTTGCTTAGGTGGTACTGATCCAATGGAAAATCACAACAATGTGGGTATGAGGTGGGACAAAACTATGGTCAACCAATAAGATTACGAGTATAGTCACTTAGGTAATATTGATTAAATGGGGATCACATGGAGAAGCAAGTTCCGTAGCAAGCACACATGGACCAAACAAGGATTTTCCAGGAAGGAATGGGCTAGGGAGGTTTTGGTCCCCCACCCAAGGTGCTTGATGCCTATTTAGAATATCAGTCACTGCTGTTCATCCCCAGGGGAAGTATGTGAGTGTAGTCAATTCTCTTTGTCTGGAAGCCTGGCCTTCAAAGAATGGACCTCCAGCCACTGTTGTTTTTCCATTGACTCTCTCTGGGCCCAGCCCGATTGCCCATAATATTTTTAACTAACTTAGCTGTCTACAATACTACCACTAAGTGGTAGTATTTTTCAGCCCTATTTCATTATAATTCATTTATACTTTAATAGGGACTAGGATTTAGGATAGCACAGCTGTGAGGAAAGGAGGGGGAATCTTTGTGAATTTTTCACTTTCGGATCTGGCACCCATCGAGGTGGCTTTAGTTAAGTTTTTTTTTTTTGGTACTGGGGATCAAACTCAGGACCTTACGCTTGCAAGGCAGGCGGCAGCACAACTGAGCCAAATCCCTGGTCCTTATTTATTTTTTTGAGACAGGGTCTTGCTATGTACCTTAGGCTACCCTCGAACTTGCAGCACTCCTCCTGCTTCAGCCTCCCAAGAGGGTGGACTACTTTTAAACAGTATGTTGTGGTTGAGAGCTTCTGATTCGTCCCCCATGTGAATCTAGACAGAACACTGGATCAGGTAACTCTGGGTCCAAATTCTAACTCCATCGCCTAGTAGCACTGAGGTAGAGCGAATACATTAACTCGCCTGGTAATGGACAAGCTCTTAATAAATATTAGCTGGCAAGAGCTGGCCATGGTGGTGCACACCTGAGATCCCAGCACTCAGGAGGCTGAGGCAGGAGATTTGTTGTGAGTTGGAGGCCGGGCTCCATAATGAGTTCAAGACCAGCCTGAACTACAAAGTGAGATCCTGTCTCAAAAACAAAAACAAACATCAAACAAAACCCCAGCAGGGAATGTAGCTCAGCGGTGCAGAGCCTGACCGGCAAGAAAGAGGCCCTGGGTTCGATTCCTGATACCAAAACAGAAAAATTTTTGAAATTCCAGCACACACATACACACAAACACCCAATATTAGCTGGCAGAATAAATCTCCCTGATGTCTCATTCTCTTTATTTGTAAATGAAGACAAGGAGCTCTTAGAAAAATTAGTGCTTTAGTATGATACTGAATAAATGTTTGCTATTACTGACATAGGCACTCAGTATTTGGTGATTGATTGGCAAGAAACTGCCCTTCAGGCCAAAGAAATTGCCCTTAATTGTCCAGAGATATAGGTTGGCAGAGGTGACCAATCCTGTGCCCTGTGAAGGCCAGAAGGATCAAGGCTAGGTTTAGTTGACCAATGTGTTATGTAAGAATGATAGCGCCTGTAATCCCAGCACTCTTGAGGCTGAGGCAGGAGGATCGCCAGTTTGAGTCCAACCTGGGCAATTTAGTGACTTAGTGAAAACTTGTTTAAAAAAAAAAATTAAAAAGAGGGCTGGGGATGCAGCTCAGTGGCACTGCTCCTGCCTCGAAAGCCAAGGTCCTGAGTTCAATCCCCATTTGGGGTGGGGGGGGAGTAGGTAGGGATAGCTGAGGGGACAAGGTGGAGGATCTTTTTTTTTTTTTGGTACAGGGGATCTAACTCCGGTCCTGGTGCTTGCGCAGCAGGCGGCAAAACCACTGAGCTAAATCCCCGGCCCCCAAGGTGGAGGATCTTAAAGTGAACAAGAGTACAGGATCAGCCCTGCTGAAGTATCTAATGATAATCAGGCAGTTATGGACTACTTACTCTTTTAACTTTTGCTGGAAAGGCCTTAGTCTGGCAGCTCCAACCTTTCTTCTGTCCCTGTATCCCCATCATCTGAAAATCAAAATCATGTTTGTGAAGTAGAATAATTGTGTCCTGAGGTGGCTCTGATGTGGGAAACTTTGTGGTTTGGGGCTGTTAGAAACTGAAGGTCACAGTGACCTCTGTTTACCATCTTTTCTGCCAAGTTGTCCCTCCTTCCCTCGTTACTTTGCCTGTGGCCTCCTTCAGATTGTGTACTTACCTTGTATTGTGATGGCCTCTCTGTGCCTCTCTCTGCTCAGATAGTGACATCCAAAGCAGGAACCCTGTCTCAAAGGAAGGTCCGTGTATTCCTGAACTCTAACCCATGCCTGAAGCACATAGTAAGTAGCTGCTCAGTAATCAGAGCTGAGTACATGAGTGGATGTAAAGTGAGGTGCGTCATCCACTGTCATTGAGAGTACATGCCCTCTCTGTGTCCGTCTGTCTTTTGTAGTACTAGGGATAGGGAGGCAAGGTCTCTGGGAGTCACACCCCCAGCCCTGATCTCTTTAGATTGCAATCTGGGTTGCCTGTAAAGTCAAGAACTTTGACGATTGTTTTGAAGCTAAGGTTACTGGTATGCATTATGGCTGGGAACTGACATCGGTAGGCCTACACTTACTCTGAGAATAGTGTCAATATGTGTACAGTAATCTTAGGTTTTGTTTCATAAAATATCCTCTCGAGGTCGAGGTCTCCAAATGACCCTGTCCCATTCGGTCCCACCAAACAAGGGCCAGGAAGGCGGACTAGAGCCGATCCGTAGAAAACGACCTGAAAATTCACCGCCTCATTTGGGTTGTGCTGCCGCAGCCCTGGTCATAGCCTCCCCCAAAGACTGCCCTTCCGCCTGGCCCCCCTGCCCCCCCTGCCCCCCCCAACGGCCCCCAGCGCGCCTGCCTGAAGGCGGGGCGCTGCTTGGCCCTTTGTTGTGGGCCCCAGTTTCCCAGGACACCGCGCGGCTCTGGGGTGGGGCTATGCAGATAAGCACTTGGGGGCGGGGCGGTTGCGGCGTCGGCGGCAGCCGGGGAGGGTCAGTTGGAGGCGGGCGCTCGCTGAGGCAGGAGGAGTCCTCTCGGCCCGCGGCCTGACAGGGACTTAGCTCGCAGAGACCGGCCCGCGCGCGCGCCACCCCACACCCACCCACTCATCCACCTACCCACTCCCTGCGCCGCCTCCTCCCACCCTGAGCAGAGCCGCCGAGGATGATAAACACCCAGGACAGGTAACGGCCCGGCCCAGACTCCCCGCCCCCATCCTCCCCGCGTCGGCTCCAGAAGGGCCTCCCCCCAAACAGCAACCCCCGCCCCCAGGCTCCGTATCCCCCGACTGGGTCCTGTCCCCACTTCAGCCCGCCCAGCCCCACGCCAGCCCTGAAACTGGGCCTCCTTCCGTCCTTTAGCCCCCTCCCTCCAGTCCAGCCCATCCCCCTCATCTGGGCCTCCACGTACCCTAAAGCCCCCCAAACCCGGACCCAGCCTTCCATTTGGGTCCCCCTTTTCCTTCAGTCCCTCCGAACGATGCCCACTTGCCCGCTTCCCCACACCGGGCTTTCTCCCGCAAACATTTCCCTGAATTGATTCCCATCGTCCCCAGATCTTTCTCACTTCCCCTGTAAATCACTGAACCGCTTTGAATTCGCTTAGTGAAAACTGCAACCCCAACCAGATTCCTCCCCTCACTGCTCCGGCCCCCTCAGCTTCATCCTGTAGTTCTCAGCCTGACCCAGTGCTCGGCTCTGCCCCCTGGCCAGGCCTTACAGCCTTCACAGGGTGCCCTAGCTCTCCAGGTTCATCTCTTCCCTCCCTCGCTCTGCACCCCTCTCCCAGTGAGGCCCCATTTTTCCTGTCTCCCAACGTCATATCTTTTATTTTCAAACACTTTGGACCTGATTTCTGTCCTTTACCCTATTTCCCTAATAGTGTCCTCCCAACACTTTCCTAAACACCTTACCCTTTAAACATTATCCATCCCGTCCTCTTACCCTTCTCATCTTATTTGAACCCCGTTTTAAGATCATTAGATCACAGAACCCACTTTCAGAGAAGGCCTTTTAAGGTTTACCCCTTGCCTTGGACCTCAGTGCCTTCAGATCAGTCACTGGGCCTAAGCAAGTTTCCCCCCCTCTCCAATCCCAGTTGCCCCCACGAATTGTAGAAAGGGTGCACATCTTTCTGAAATGAGCGCTTTTCTGAAACGAGAGGATTTCCAGCCTTGGATCATGTATCCTTCCTCCTGCCCAAACTAGGCAAAATTGATTGTTCAATTTTCTTTTCTCTCCTCTTTCCAAGGCAGCCTTTCTCGTCCATCTTCCACAAATATATTCCATATTCCTGCCCTAGATGCTTTTCACTGAAACACTTCTATAATTTCCTCACTCTCAGTTTTAAACCTAGTTGCTCCTGTCTAACAGGTGGGTTCCATTTGGAATTCAGACCTAATTCCCATCCTCGTTTTTTTGGGGTAGACTTGTTACTTCCAATCTTTGCTGCTCATTAGTTCCCCACACCAGCCCTTTTGTCCACAGATTTGACCTTCCAGCCTCTGCCCCTCAGTAAGGCCTCTTTGTTTTGCAAGCAGACCCATTCCCTGTGAGTCTTCTTAAAGTGTGCCATGGTTTCTCCAAAGCTAGCTTTTACTTCCTCTTAGAAACACAGCCTGCCTCACTGCTTTTTCTTCATGTAGGGCTCTAACTGCCACCTGTGGTTCTTCCCAAGCTTGGGCTCCTTCACACTCAATGATCTCTAACTTCCTGTTTCTCATTGTTTAGCAGCACTAGCCTTAAATATTCAGGCCAGGTTTTCAGTTTTTCTTGCATCTCAGTGTTTTCTTAACCCAGGTTATACATTTGAAAAGTCAGTTAGCAAGGCCCCACCTTCTTGGATTGGCCAAATTGTCCTAGAGTGGTGCCTGGTTATTAGCATAATTAAAAAAAAATTCCCCAGGTAATTCTAATGTAGAGCTAGAATTGAAAAACACTTCCCCCAACCCCCAGGATTTAGCTTTTCCCATAATATTCCATTAGTAGGTGTCAGCTCTTCCCTACTGTCAAGGACCAAGTCTGCTTCAGGAATGTTTTTGTCTTTATCTGTTAGTGATTATCCAGAAGTACCCTAGATACAGTACCTGCCACAGGCTCTTTCCTCCTACCTCCAGTTGCTTAGTACTTAGCCATTAGCCAGTTTTTCCCTATCAATTCTCAAATTCTCATCTGTTCTCCCCACTCCATTTGTTCTCTACACAGGGAAGGAAAATTGTCCTGTTTGACTCATTATCCCTGGTTCTTGAACCCTCCTTACCTACAATCCCATATGCTTTTATGTTTTCCTTTTCTGAGACTTTCCACCTCCATCCCCCCTACTCTTTGATTCCATCTTCTCTAACCCAGGCTCTCTGGAGCTGGGAAAGTGGAAATGGATTATATTAGATGGTGCTGGAGGCAAAGGCTATTAATTGTAAGGAAGGTTGTGTGTGCTGAGGGTGGATGGTAGGTATGAGAGAGGTATAGGACAAGTGTAGGGGTAGAGAAAGCAGAGGAACCTAGAGCAGAACCTGCTGAAGGGGTATTCTAGGTGGATTTTTGTCTCCTGTTGTGTCTGCCACAGGGCCTTGAAAGGTGGTACTCTCAGCAGGTACTTTCTGGAGTCCTCTGAATTGGAACTGATCTGGTGTAGATAGGCAGTTTTTTTGTTTTGTTTTGTTTTTTGAGACAGGGTCTTGCTACATAGTTCACGCTGGCCTTGAACTCACTATGTAGGCCAGGTTGGCCTTCAAACTCATGGCAGTCCTCCTGCCTCAGCCTCCCAAGTGCTGGGATTACAGACATGTGCCACCACGCCAGGCAGTTGGGCAGTTCTTTGCAGGCTGACCCCAAAGAGTTGAGCACTTGGGACAACATGTAATGGTCTTCACTGACTGAGTTTGAGAGACCTAATTTTTCCTCACTTAGCCAGTGTGCTTACATGTAAAGAGGGGGTTGGGTGAGCGCTATGATTCTTTCCAGCTTTCCGGCTTTCGAAGTGGCAAAACAGGCTTGCCTGTCTCCAGGGCCCTTGCTTAGTGTGTTGGTAATTCGAGGGGCTTGGCCCTGTGAGAGGCAGGTGGAGGGAGGAGCCAGCTGGCCTGCCAGGCCCTGGGCAGGAGTGGGGCTTAGATCGGCCTCCTCCACTTTGGCCTGGGGGTGGGGTGGTGTTGTGTTGTGTGCAGGGTGTCTGGTTTCTTTGAGTTATGGCAATCTTGTTTCCATAGCATGTTTCCCAGCCTCCTCTGGCCTGCTTCAAACTTTCTAAAAGGAATCCTGGTAGAGTCCTAACTAGGAATTCCGTTAAGAGATAAGAGCCGGATGCTTTTCCAGTCTGTGTTCTTGGTGTTTTGTATCCGAAGAGGGGGGAGTTGGCTGGGAGTTTAGCGCCCATTAGATGGGGGATGGGATTTCTAGCTCTGGTGAGAAGAAACCCAGGAGGTGGAGGCATAGTTTCCTGGAAGAAGTAGTTGGCGAAGAGCTGGCAGTATGTTTTGAAAACAAGGCGCTTCCTTTCCAGTGTTCTGATTCGTACCTCCAAAATGTCAAAATTCTTGATGGTGGATGGAAGAAGACCAATACAAGCCCCTTTATTATGTTTTTTGAACATAAGGTTTAAATCCAAGAGGAAGCCACACTTCATGGCCCTTCTCTGCCTGGATTTGTGGACCAGGGAGACAGTATCTATCTCTCTGGGGCTTGCTTGGTGTCTTGTGACAGTACAGTATGTGGAGAAGCTAGCCCTGGCTTGATAACCATATTGTAGTCAGTCTGCATGCTAATGGACTTTGGGGAGATGTAGTTGGTTCTACAAGTGGGTTTTGTGTGTGGCCATGGGTGTGGAGAAGCTCTTGGGCAGGGCACAAAAGCTATCTGAGCTACCCTGAACATTTTCACTGAGGGGTTTCCTGGGTAATGGAATATCTTTCTCTTCCCAGCGAATTCAGTTTTGGTGACTTATTATTTATTGGAACTATGGCTTATTGAGCATGGAGGGTGGTGGAGCCAGTTTTCTTTTTTGTACCGGGGATCGAACTCGGGTCCTTGTGCTTTCGAGGCAGGCGGCAGAACCACTGAGCTAAATCCTCAGCCCATGGAGGCAGTTTTCTAAGCTGTGCCTTCAAGGTCACCCTACAGAGGAAGAGAAACTTCCACTATAGTCAGGGATCCCCCCAAATTGGAGATATGTTTCAGAAAGCAACATAGACTAATAATAGTAATTCCTCATTCTGCCAAGAAATCCAGATTTAGCCTCAGAGCTGCTCAGAAATATAAAAAAGGGGAGTGTGGAGTGGGGTAGAGGGATGTTAGAAATGTGTGTTTCTAGTAAAAAGTAATTCATCCGTTTTTGAAACAGTATGTAATGTTGATTCAAGTTAGTGCCATGATTTGGAAAGCTAATTGAAAGCTACAGACCAGAAATGGCTGATTAGGTGAGCAAAAATTTTGTTACCTGAAGTGAACAAGATAGGTAGTTTCTGGTTAGCAGTAGCAGCAGCATAAATGCTTCATAGCCTTAAGAAAATTTCCTAGGCCTTGGATACATATAAACAATGATGTAATTCTATCCTGGGAGGGAAGGCTGGAGACTGTGTGATAAGCTTTCTATACTAATCAGATTGAAGTACCTAAAATGTAAAGTTAAAGTCTTATTTTAAAGCATGATTACCTAGCTGTCTAGCCACCCTTGATATGTGGTGTGCCTGCTTTTCAGATGTGCCACTGTCAGCTGTGTGATACAAAAACCTCGGGGGCACAGACGTTCCAGCTGCCATTGTACATGTGTTTCTTGTGGAGAATCAAC